TTCTGGATCGGAAATATAAAAATTCAGTACGCTATACTGGTTCTTCTTCTTTCCGGTTGTTTGGCACTTGGTCGCTAAAAGCGATCCGATACGGCCATGTCAATCCAATAGGCAATAATGTCTATACAGCAATAGTCTTAACTTGGCGATACAAATTCTCCTAACAAGTCACACAATGCAGAGGCCCAACTACCGAGCCTCGCGCGGGATGATGCAATCCCTACTGGATGATGCAATCCCGCAGGATCAAAAATTTTAACTTTCGTCGGAAGACGTGTGAACCGCTCAACGGCCCAGACGGGACTGACCGGACTGACGCTATACTGGTATGGAACAGTTCTTTCTAGATAACCAAGCGTACAATTTCCGCACAAGATAGCACTATTGTACGATATATATCGAACAATACGCAGTACAGATACGATGATGGTACGCTGTATTACAGTACCATGTACCTTTTTTGTATTGATACCGTACAGTTACGCCATACGTCGCCATCTCGTGGCAGTACAGTAACAATACAGTAGCAGTATCTCGTGCGCAAATCGCACGCTTGGTTATCTGGGAAACGGTAACAGGCAAAACGCCGGGATGGCCGCTCTCAGGTTTCTCTCTGCTACCCGTGTTTCGCCAAACAGAGATTTGGTTGTATCGTACATTCATCTTTTTTCGTAATTATTATTCATTTATTATTTTCTTACTCTACTCTATAATTAATAATGGTTAATTGTTACAGTTAACTATATGTATAAACGTAGTAGCGATATTACACTCACATTGAATTATATACAATTTATATAATATATAAATACTAAATTAGAAATATTTGAAAAATTAACTTTTCTATCCCAGTAACACATTTAATTTGAAAGTTGCATTACAGTATGCGGTACTTGACTAAATAATTCAAGAAAATACTGCACTCAATCTTTTATCTGAAAGTATTAAAATTTAGTTAAAAGTTAATAACATCTTCAGTGAATAAATTAAAAATAAAACAATAAGGCCATTCATTAAAAATAATCTAAATAATTACTAGAATACCAGAAATAATATAGTTAATATCGATATCTATATTAACAATCAGCAATAAGTAAATAACTAAATAGATAATATATAATATATAATAGATATATGTATTCAACTCACTGTAATGTAACTTTTGTATCTCAGTTATGTCCGTTATTCCGAATAATTGTATTTCGAAATCCTTACAGTGCGAAAACAGCTCGCCTGATGTAAAACGAGTTTTTTTTTTGCCTCGAGCTCTATAAATAAAAATAGTGCAGATAAACGAATTAGCATAACACTAAATTGATACAATAATACAAAGAAAGGTAAAATTGACCACTACTTTTTGAAACAACGAAAAACATTGCAAATGTAACAACACTTACCAAGAAGTATCCCGAAGGCAGTAGCAGCATCCCTTTTTGTGTACGTCTCGTTTGGAATAAGATCTCCGAATTTGACCAATTCTTTGTCACACCATGAAACTTGTAATAGAGCATACAACTCTTGACTCGTCAGTTGAGGCTGCGAGGAACCGCGAGAGCTAACGTAAGTAAAAACGATATTTTTATTATATGCCAAATAATTCTTTAAACGGCAGATATGTGATAACAATATGCTAAGTTTCGTAGAAAAGAACTAAGCAAGGTTCTTAGATTATTACGACAAAGCGATAAAAGTTTTATTCTTTTCTCAAACTGTCAATTAATGAATTTCATATTTTGTCAATATCCATTTACGAAAGTTCGAGTATACACTTAGAATATTGTTATGTCCAGCTGTTTATTTAACAATAAAAGAAAAATTCAAAATACATGGCCGGAGATGCTGGAATGTGTTGTACTTGTAAAACAGGTTGCTGTTTTTTTAATAAATATTTTTCGATATCCTCGAAGCTTTCACTAGTGTCAGCTATATTTGAGTTTTCCTGATGCGGTCTAGGCCCGATGCTGAAATAATATCATTTAATAAACAGATACTGAAATGAGAAATTAAAGTGTTAAAGGAGCATAAAATAGCAAAACACAGAAGAAAGATTGAGCAATTGAGGAAATATTGAAAAAGTGACAAGTAAAACAAGTAAAATTGAATAATTCTTAATAATTAACTTTCTCGTTCAATAAGCAATAAGTAGACTATTACCCAGTGTCTTCTAGAGTAATCGTATCATGTACCACCTCCGGTACCATAATTGGCACGTCCACATCCATTTCGTGAATTGCATGTAGTAGAAGTGCAGTATTGTCTGTAGGTTCGGCAATTGCAATATCTGTCTTCTTGAGTGTACTCACATCCGTAGGAAGATTTAGCTTGCTCATTGGCTCTTCTGGGACGCGCATTGCTTCTGCGACTAAAAATATAAATTTATTCAAAGTTTTGTACACGTACATCAACGTAAATATTTAACAAGTGTCTAAATAAACTTACGTTGCCCGAGTTCGGCAGGTGCAACATCTTCAGTTACACTCGTGAATGGCCCGGCGATGCGATCATGAAAGCGTTTGCATAAACGGGCGTTCCACCGTGAGTGAGAAGGTTGCTTGAGAAGATCTATCGCCGATATCGGTAATAATCGAGGTACTATCGACGTAGCTAATGGCTGAAAATAATTTAGTCAGAATTTTTGAAATCTCTTAAATGAAAATTTCTCGCTTCTTGAACGTTATTATTTTATAACTTTATATACACGTCTTTTGTAAATTTATATAATTATTAAACTCACCTGACAATGAATATTCACATTCTGACGCCATCGCTTTAACAGTTTGTCACTTAAGACAATATTTTCGTCAGTAACTAGTGTGATTTTTTTTAAAGGCTTGTCAACCACGAAGTAGCTCGAGTGTACTGATTCCAATTCGATGTCCGCTTGCCATGTCACATCCTCTACAGGACCAGGAGGTTCGATCATCGTTGCACCTTCAAGGGATAACTGAAAAATGTATAGGAGTCCGAATTAAAAATTAGGTATAAATAAAAAGTAGTGCAGAATGAGAACAGAGGAAACGAGAAGTCTTAATTTTTTTAACTTTTTAGCTATTACATGGTGATTCTCGTTTGCCCTCTACTTTATGGACTTCATCCAAACGACATTATCGATTAGAAACAAACGTACACGTCTTCTCTTCGTAGGTGTTTCCACGTGTGTTTCACGTGGTTCCTTTGTAGCTCGTTTCTGTGGAGTTAAAGGCAGTCTCTTTGTAACATCACTGAATATATCCACGAGCTTTGGACTATGGATTTCCTGAGATAACTGTTGTTTTTCAATCTCTGTTCATTAAACGATCACATTAATAGGTTTAATTTTTTTAATAATATGTGTATATCATATTATTTAAAATATTATGTGTATATCATATTTAAAGTACTTCATTGATAATTTACCTTCTGTAATAGTGACGTTACTTGTCCTCTCCAGGATGTCTTCTTCCGCGTTGTGTAGTCTCTCCAGGTCTCTAGCAAACCATTAAAAGCAAACCATATCACTCTTTGTATAAAAAACATTATGAATTAACTTAGAGATACTTATATAAAACCAACGGAAGATTGGTAACCGCGCGGACTACTGTCTGAATATTGTTGTTTTGTGAAGAACCATTGTTGAATTAAAAATAGAAACAAATAAAATTAAATCGGAACCTTTATGATATAAATCAAATGGAAACGAGAACGCCAAATCATTACTTAGGTTCGAACCAGATGAAGGTAGCCCAATAATTTTTATTCAATCATCTAGGGCTGCTTTCATCTTGGACCAAAGTAATGATTTGGCGTTCTCGTTTCCATTAAAAATTAGGAAGTTATCGTACTACAAGAGAGACGTAAGGATTAGAAACTAACAATGAGACATCTTCATCACACATAAGCATGAAGTGTAAGTCCTTATCCAAGTAGCCAAAATCCAGGCATGTTGCATCCTTCATCTGTGAATGAAAAAAAATATTAAGGGTAGATGAAGTTTACGATCAGAAAATCAACAGTTTGGCAAGGCAAGGATATCGCGGTACATTACAGGATTTAGGGATCAAGAGTAGAAGTTTGAGAATGCAGAATTTGGTGATTAACAAACGCTTGAACATTAAACCGAGTTTTACATACAGCCATATTCAATCTCTCATCAGACTCCATGTCAGACAAAACGTGCAAGTCTTTTTCCAACGGCACGTTAAGAATGTTTGGACCCGAGAGAGGCATTTCTATCATAGGATCCGCAGGAGGCATTTCAATCGCGCGAAAATTATCCTCGTCTTCACACATTGGTCGTATTTGAAAAGCCTCCTCTGAGAAGTGAAGAAGATTATAGAAGTGAAGCGGCACAAATGGTACCG